ATAGAATGAATGTAAAACTAAAGTTCTCTCATGTAAACTATCTTATAATTCACAATAAAACATTTAAAAACAAACAAAAAAACAAACAAAACAACTAGCTGTGCGCTGAGTCATTGATTTTGATTCATGGAGACCCAGGTGCTTTCAGAGTACAACTGTATCCTATAGGTCTTTCCATGGTTGATTTTTCATAAGTAAATCACCTTCAGAGATGCTTCTGGGTAGATTTGAATCAGTAATTTTTCAGTTAGTAGCCGAATACTTAAAACATTTGCACCACTCAGGAATTCCTGTGCTGAGGCTGTCGTTGTTAAGTGCCATTGAGTCAGACTCATAGTGACCCTGTATAGTGTTTCTGATTAGCAGCCGGTGAGTTTAAACCTTGCAGTTCAAACCGACCTTGAGGTCGAGTGCTTATCCTATGGCGCCACACTAGAACTTGTAAATGTTAGAATTCGAAGAGGTTCATGTTTCAAGGAAATTAGAATGGGTAACTGTGTTCAGGCAACCAAGTATTGACTGAAATGTATTTTCCCTTCTCCATTTGCAGAAGACGATATGAAATTGGCTATGAAGCAACAAGAAAATGTAAACAACACACTAAAACAAGCAGTGGAAGCAATGGCCAGTGACACCAGGCACAGATTCCACAAGAAACTCTTCCCAAACTCACAGCTCTTCAAGCAGTGGGGTGAAGGTCTTTCTGAGGCCCAGCAGAAAATGGCTCAGGAACTCTTCCAGAAGTTTGGTTACAACGTTTACCTCAGTAACCAGTTGCCCCTCAATCGAACCATTCCAGACACACGGGATTCCAGGTGGGTTAGGCCAGATTTGGCCATCTCAATTCATGAGGACCTCAGATTGATTTGGGGTGAATTTCTGGAGAAGACAATGTCAAGGACTAGAAAGAAGTTTGGGGGAGGGAGAGGTTGCTGGAAATGGAGTTTAGAACATAGGAAGTTCTGGCAGGCTGACTGAGCAGAGTTCTTGTTTTCAATCCGCTTTATAATGGCTGCTCTGAAAAGATAACTGACTGATGCAAACATTTACAGGACCTTGGAGATAAGCAGAGATGTCAGAAAAAAAAAAAAAAAATCCTTGAGAATTTTGATCCCACTAGTTCTAACTCATAATTCTACAGATGACAGAAATAGGCCATGAAAGTGATAGGGCTTGTGTGAGTCATACCAAAGTTAGCAGTTTTTCTCAAATTCTAGTGTTTTTCTCAAATTCTCTGCTTAGATTTCTTTTTGAAATGGAATCCAATTTAATGAAGCTTCTCTGTCTCCCTGTTTTATTTACAAGTTCCATTGTTTTCTGTCTTTCTGTTCTTCTCTTTCTCCTTCATACTTAAAAAAAAATAATAACAGCTTTAAGATATAGATTCACATGCCATACAATCATCCCATTTAAATTATATTGATACATTTTAGCATATTAATAGACGTGTGCAACCATCACCCAAATCAGTTTTAAAATATTTATATTACATCAAAAAGAAACTCCATACCCTGTAGCATTCACTTCCATCTTGAGAAACCACTAATCAACTTTCTGTCTCTGTGTATTTGCCTATTCTGGACATTTAATGTAAATGGAATCGCATAATATGTGGTATTTTGTAACGGAATTCTTTTACTTGGGCTGCTATTGTTTTGCTGTTGTGAGGTGCTGTTGGGTGGGTTTCTACTCATAGTGACCCTGTATAGGGTTTCTGAGGCACGGCTGGTGAATTTGAACTTCTGATCTTGGGGTTCAAACTGACTTTGAAGTTCAGTGCATTACCCCACAGCACGACACCAGGCCTCATTGTTAGCCACTTACAACATCTGCATTAGAACGTGTATCATTCTTTTCGTGATCAAATAGAGTTTCATAAAATGGATAACCCACCTATTGTTTGCTATTCATCAGCTGATAGACATTGAGATTGTTTCCACATTTTGGCCATTCTGATATGAAAAAGACAGAGGATAGCAAGTGCTGTAGATGGTGTACAAGTTTTTGTGTGGACATGCATTTTTTCACTTCTATTGGGTGCACCTGAGTTGTAGAATTGCTGGGTTATATGCAACTCTATTTTAACCTTCTGAGGAACTGCCAAATTGAGGACCTTTCCAAAGTGACTGCCCAGGGTTCCTGCTACTATCTGTAAGTGATCTAATTTTTTGGCATTACATGTGTTTATGGGATTCCCTTAAAATCTTCTTTAGAAATGTAAGATTAGTAGTAATGTATGTCTTTCATTCCTGGTGGCATATGAAGATTCTGATAGTGCCACATCATCTATAGCCTTTGTGAGACTTTGTCTTTTTTATAATAGCCATTCTACAGGGTAGCTCACTGTGATTTTGTTTGCATTTCCCTAGTGAATAATAATGTTGAGCTTCTTTTCATGTGTGTATTGGCTATTTGGAAGTCCTGGTGTCGTGCTGTAGGATAAGCACTGGACTGCTAACCACAAGACAGGTGGTTCAAACCCATCAGCCACTCCTCAGAAACCTTATGCTGGGTCACTGTAAGTCAAAACTGACTTGACAGCACTTAGCAACAACATTGGCTATTTGTGTATCTCTTTTGGAGAAATATCAGTTCATACTCTCCCCCATTTTTGAATTGGCTTGTCTATAAATAATTGAGTTATAAGAGTTTCTTTTTACATATTTTAGATACAAGTCAATGATCAGATATATGATTTGCAAATGTTTTCTCTCATTGTATATGTAGTCATTTCACTTCCTTGAAATGAAACCAGGGCAATGCAACGATATATGATAGAATGAATGTAAAACTAAAGTTCTCTTATGTATAAAGTTCTCTTATCTTATAATTCACAATAAAACATTAAAAAAAATCAAAACAAAACAAAAAAAAAAACACAACTAGCTGTGCACTGAGTCATTGATAAATGTTTTCAAATTTGAGGATAGTCAATTTATTGTTCTTTTGGCTGCTTGTCCTTTTGGTGTTAGGTATAATACAAGGCCATGAAGATGTATGCTGATGTTTTCTTCTAAGAGTTCTATCATTTTTATATTCCACTTAGGTCTTTGATCCATTTTGAATTAATTTTTATATATGATGTGACATAGGAGTGTAACTTTATTCTTTCCAATGAGAAGATTCTTTTGACCCAGCACAGTTTCTTGAAGAGAGTATTCTTTCCACATTGAATTGTCTTAAAACTTCTTTTGAAAACCAATTGATCATAGATGTTGGTCTTATTTTTGAATTCTATTCCACGGATCTACATGTTTCTCATTATGCCAGTAACAAACTGCCTTGATTACTGTAGCTTTGTACTAACTATTAAACCCAAGAAGTGTTAGTCCTCCACTTTTTTCCCCCTCAAAATTGTTTTGGCTACACTGGAACGTTGAAATTCCATATGAATTTTACATCAGCTTGTTAATTGCTACAAAGAAGTAAGCAAGGTTTTGACAATGATTGCATTGAATTTGTAGATCAATTTGGGCATTGTTATAGTTAAGTGCCCTCGAGTCTGTTCTGACTCATAGCAACCCTGTACAGGGTTTCTGAGGAGCGGCCCATGGGTTTGAACCACTGACCTTTTGGATAGCAGTCCAGTGCTTATCTACAGATTGCCCTTCTAACAGTAAATCATAAAGTTGAACATCTGTGAGTGAACATCTGACAGTTATAACACAAACATATTATATTCTGCAGCACAGTATGTAGTACCTATTAACAATGATAAGCTCGACACTCCCATCCAAAACACACACACACACACACACACACACACACACACACACACAGAGTAAGCAGATGGTGGCAAGTGTGGTTCATTGTAATTTGGATATGTTGTAAATTGGGGATTACCTATATTCAACTGGACAACATTGCGAAGTATGAGTATTCCAGAACACTTAATTGTGCTCATGAGAAATCTGTACCTGGACCAACAGGCAGTTGTTCAAACAGAACATGGGAACACTAAATGCTTTAAAGTTAAAGAAAGGTGTGTGACAAGGTTGTATTCTTTCACCATATTTATTCAACCTGTTTGCTGAGCAAATAATTCGAGAAGCTGGGTTCTATGAAGAAAAATGTGACATCAGAAATGGAGGAAGACTCATGAACAACTTGCGATATGCAGATGATACAACCTTGCTTGCTGAAAGTGATTTACTGATGAAGATCAAAGAGCACAGCCTTCAGTATGGATTGTATCTCAATGTAAAGAAAGCAAAAATCCTCATCACTGTTGCAATAAAAAACATTCTTATCAACGGAGAAAAGATTGACGTCAAGGACTTCATTCTTTTTGGATCAATTATCAACACTCATGGAAGCAGCAGTCAAGAAATCAAACGACTTATTGCATTGGGCAAATCTGCTGCACAAGACCTTTTTAAAGTGTTGAAGAGCAAAGATATCAGCTTAAGGACTAAGGTGCGCCTGACCCAAGCCATGGTATTTTCAATAACCTCATGTGCATGTGAAAGCTGGACAGTGAATAAGGAAGACCGTAGAAGAATTGATGCTTTTGAGTTATGGTGTTGGAGGAGAATATTGAAAGTGCCATGGGCTGCCAAAAGAACCAATGGATCCATTTTGGAAGAAGTGCAGCCAGAGTGCTCCTTGGAGTCCAAGATGGCCAAACTTCGTCTCTCATACTTCAGATGTATTGTCAGGAGAGACCAATTGCTGGAGAAGGATATCATGTTTGGTAAGGATCTCATGTTTGGAGGGTCAGAGAAAAAGAGGAAGACCCTCAATGAGATGGATTGGTCAAGTGGCAGCATCCATGAACTCAAGCATGGCAACAGTAGTGAGGCTGGCCCAAGATCGGCCAGTGTTTTGTTCTGCTGTGCGTAAGGTCGCTATGAGTTGGTACCGACTCAATGGCACCTAACAACAACAACAATATTCAAGATTATGTCATCTTAAAATAGAGATATTTTCTCTTCTTTTTTAAACTAGCTGCCTGTTATTTAATATTCTTGCTGAATTGCCTTTTGTAGAACCTCCAGTACAATGTTGAATAACAATGGTGAGAAAGGACAGTCTTGTTTTGTTCCTCATTACAGGGGGAAAGCATTCAATATTTCACCATTAAATAGGATTTAGCTGTGGATTTTCTATAGACACTCTTAACTATTCTTTTCAATGTTTCTTGAATGGGTTTTAAAATTTTATTTATTTATTATTTTATGAAGGGATGTTAAATGTTGTCAAATGAATATTCTGCTTCTATTGCAATGATCATGTTGCTTTTGTCCACTATATATTGATATAGGGGAACTCCAGGACTCTAGAGGATAAGCACTGGACTGCAGAACCACAAGAATGGCCCTCCATAGGAAAAAGCTGAGGCTTTCTGCTCTCACAAAGCTTTACAGCCTCAGAAACCGTATACCAGGTCGTTATGAGTTCTATGATTTGGAATTTACTCTGGGGCACTTAACAACAACAACAATGCTGATATGGTATATTGCATTAGTTGATTTTCACACGTGAAACCAACTTTGAATTCTTGACACAAATCACATATGGTCATAGTGTATAATCTGATTTGTTTTTTCTTTTATGGATTTAATATGCTAGTATTTTGTTGAGGATTTTTTGTGTCTATATTCATAGGACATGTTGGTTGATAGTTTTACTTTCTTGTGATATCTTTATCTGGTTATCACAATAATTATGGATAATACTGGTGTCAGAGAATAGGCTGGGAAGTATTTTCTATCGTCAGTATTTTGGGAGAATTTGGGAAGGATTAGTACTAATTCTTCTTTAAATGCTTGGTAGAATACACCAATGGGCCTGGGATTTTTGGTGGGTAGTTTTT